TCCATGAAAAATGTTGTTGCTAAAGTTTAAAACGGAAAGAAAGAAAACCTTTAGATTTTGTTTGCTGTTCAATAAATTGTTGCATCTCTGGTAGTAAGTATAGTAAGTAATCCAGTGGATCCTGTGCTATGAATTTGAAATTATGAAGATATATTTTAACTGAGCATGCAGATAATTTTGGTCTTGCTTTCTATATCAAAAGCTGTCAAAACTTAATTGGTGGACTGAGGAAGCCTTTTCAGACTATCATTGCAATAATCCCTGCTCGTTGCAGGGGGGTTGGACTTAGATGACCTTTAAAGGTCCTTCTCAACCCAAAGGATTCTATGATTCTGTGACTCTAATAGTAATTTAGAAAATTAATCAACCAGAGCAAATGATAAAGTGTATATAACAACTGTTAGATGGACTGTTTACTATTAATTATACACTGTTACATTAAATTTATGGTATTTCGTGCATACTTTTCCCCCTCTTTCACAGGCTGAGGTGTCATGTCGTGGAAAGCAGTAAGCCTTCTTCTCTGACATTAAAAGACAACACATTTAATATTCCAGCAAAAACCAATGAAGATTTACATATGCAGGTAATAATGTATTCCTTTGTGCTGAATATTGAACAAAATTATAAAATACGATAGCGATAAAAAGAGTTTGTATTAAACCTCTTCGGTACTTTGTAAATTATACTATATGAAAAGCTCAGCAGTTGAAAATAACTGTGATAGTGATTTAATTATTTTGTTGAATAATAATGGTTTAATAAAATACTATTTTCAATTCAGTTTTCTCATTCCTCTTGTATATATTACAGATCTGAGGTATCAATGAGCCTCGGTGGTATCTTTTGCTTCCTAGTAGTGTAAAGATGTCCCCTGCTTGATGTAGTCAATATAGGCTATCCATAACTCTTAAGATTCAAAGCTTCCTTAGCGGAACAGACTACTGAATTATGTAGTGAGAAAAAAAGTGATCACAAAGAGACCACGAAGAGCAGTCTTGTCTTTTTTATTTTTTTTCCCTTTGTGCTTATAGTTACTGACTAAATAGCTCTGCATTAACAAGTATTTTCACGTGCAGTAGTTCTAATTTAATGAAACTATTTCTATTTTCAGCTAACTCGTTTACTGCAAATTAATATAAGACTTCAGGAGCAGATTGATCGCTGCCTCTGGTTCCAGCAGTTGTCAGTTGTTTTATCATTACTATCAGTTACTGTTGTTGCCTTCTGCTTCTACCTGGCGTACACCCAGAGAAGCTAAAAAGAATTGCTTTGCACTGGATATGCTGCCTATCATGATTGGTTGGAGTGGAAGAGATCGCAGTGCTGCGCTCGTGTTCTGGAACTGCCAAAATGAGGTTTGTGAGCCCACAACAATGAACGGTGATACAATTTGCTGACAAATAAAGAAGAAATGAGTGACCAGCAAAGGAAATTACTGGAAGTTGAGACTTAGAACAGTGCATGAGGAAGATGTTAGAGCTAGGACCTGTTTTCACTGTACAACTCAATAAATACTGAACTGGAAGGAGGAAACCAAACACAACAACATAATTTAAAACTGTTCAGTTTTTTTTTTCCTCTATTCAACTACTTTAAATACAATATTTCATTTCTTTTCATCATACTCATTCTTACGTCCTGAATTACTCTCATAGAAGGTGCAAGCATTCAACTTAAGTGTATTCTAAAGGTTAACTTGTTCATTCAGGAATATTTACAGAAATTATGTAGTACAGGCAGATCTTTTTATATAATCTATGTACATGCACATATAAAGGAAGATATTTGTTGTTAGCAAGTATTTTGGTAATTCAGGCTCATAACTTTCATTGGTTAAATTCCTTATTTTCGTGCTTTTTCTGAATGCAAAGTTATTGTAAATATTTCCTACCAAATAACATACACACAGCCATATTGACCAAGAATATAACCCTTGTTTGATTCCAAAGACAGTAATGAAATAATCATGATGAGACACTATTCCTATTCTTTCCTTTCTTATTTTTTTTGAAAGCAACTTTTAGTCAAATTGCAGGAGGGGTGTAAGAGTTGACTTTTGATGACCTATTATTGGTTCATAACAAGGCTAAGTAAATACTCAGTGTGAGAACATACTCTGAGATGTGCAATGTGCCTAAATTACAGATTAATTTATGAAGAAAGCAAGTCAAGTCGGGAAGATTAAATATTGTTGAAGGCAACGTAAGAGTGTTGTATCTGCCATTTCTCAGAAGCTGTTGGAGAAACGGCTTATGAAGCCACCAAGAACTTATGCTAACAAGGATTCTTTGTACTCATTGCTGTAAATATGTATATTAAAATTATAAACACTTAAAAGGAGGCTGATGGTATCTTTCATACACTTAAAATTTTCGCTCTTGATGAGGTCTAAACATTTAAAGTAATTTTTGCTACAAACTGGCTTTGTTACAGATCATTTAGTTTTGTCTGTTGACTTCAATAGGTAAGAAGAATTTATTGAGGAAAAATAAAAGTCATGCTCTGCTTCTGTCTTTTTGCTTACAGTATCTCTCCAGTGTGTTGTAGATGTAGTATCTTTTCTAGGAAATAGAAAAGGGCAGTTTAAGAAAATGCATTAGTTAACTGATTAACTAATAAAGCAGAATACTGTTCAATATGATAACTAAAAGAATTACTATGTAAAAGTCAAGCCTACAGAACTGGTTGGTGCACAGTCTTCTATCCTTTCTTAATTTATACAAGGTTTTACCACATCTACATTGTCTTACTTTTTCCCTAATGTCATTTCTGTTCCATTTGCTTCTCAGTATTCTGTTTTCTTAATGAGTTGACAGCTTATATTGTTCACTGCTTACTATGAAGCTGTTACTTAGGTTATTTTCACATGCATGCACCTCAAATGCTTTGCTTCCAACAGAATGGGTTGTTGTGTTGTTGAGAAAGGTAACAAAGTAATTTGTAACCTTAAGATTAATAATAATCATGCTCTTAAAATGCCAATTCCTTGATTAGAGTGAGTTGAATAGCACTTTACTGTAAAATTGCAAGAAATATATTCTTAGAGTCTTTGCCAATATGAATATTTTAAAGTTTGGGTGCTTTCGTATATTTTCAGTATTTTATTACTATGTTGGTATCTTCTTTGTATGACGAATCAGATGAACATCTTTTCTATTTTAATATGTTTTAGAAAAATACAGTTACAAAATAAATACGAGGAAATATGTAGTCTTGAATGTTTAGTCTTTTAAAAGAAGCTACATTTCATATGGGTTTGGTTTTCTTGTTAGTCTGCAGATAGTTAAAATGAAGGAGGGGTCAATATGGTAATGGCCCATAGTCTGTTGTATAACAGAGGTTGTGATGATACTTGTCAGGCAAATGCAAAATAGATGATCATGAATTCTTAGGCAGCGTGCCTAACATAATAAGGTAGCATGTGATATTGGCCTGTAAACACTACTGTGGCACAAATAATGCAAATCCACACAATACAAATATGTATCTCCCTGTGTCTCAGTAAAAGTAACTATTATTTAAACATCACACAGTAAATGGAAAAATATATAAGCAAAAAAAAAAAAAAAAAAGTAGCAGTATTTTTTCTTAAATAGCCATTGTCAGTTGTCTACTTTATTTTTCTTCTGTGAGAACTTCATTGTTTCTGTCATCACAGAAGATGGTGGTGACCCGTCAGTATTTTCCCACTCTGCAGTTGTCAGTAGTTTCAGGTTTTGTTTGCCTGCCCTTGGAAACACATATTTCAGCCAGTCCATTTTGGAAGGCTTTGTATCTAACGTGATTTGACATGATATCCCAAATTCAGAGAATAAGAAAAAAGTTTTTTCAATTTTTTTTTCCACAGTACATCAAACTCGGTTTGTAAAGCTGAGTAAAGCTCTGTAAAGCTGGGGCATTTTAGAACTTGGACAATTCACAAAATCGGTTTTGATTACATGAACTGTCAAGATAGATACAAGTATATTCTTCCTTTCTCTCATTGTAGATTAGCCGTTAATCTTGGTTTTTACAGCCAGTTAAGAGACAGCAACGGCCATAATCCTAAAAATTAGCAATTTGCGCTCCAAAAGAGCACATGCTCTTTTGCTAGCAAGCCATTTTTGTGCTCTATTCTTAGGTTCAGTTTTTTACTTTACTAAGGAAAAGATTAGGTTTGAGGCTTCATAGGTAGTGCTTTGTTCATCATCTCTTCTCTGCTTCCGGAGTCTTACTGTGGGATAGCTCTGAACCGTAGGAATAGGTGGTGCTCCGGTCACACCGTTCGCATTTGCACTACAATTATTGTCACACTAAAATTATTTACAGTCGTCCAGTGTTGCAGCTTATTTTTATGCTGAAAGAGGTAACGAAAGAGAATCAAAAGTTTATTTTGGACAGGACGTATTTTTTTTAATAGCGGAAACATGAATTTTTGCGTAAGGACACAGTCATATTGAGGTTTTTTTGTTAGATTCAAAGCCTAAGTGTCTTTAAGGAAAAACCACATTGGAGTAGGCTAATTTGGAAAAAAAAAAATCTTGACTATAATATTTTAACATATCCAATAACTCTTCCCCTTCCTTAGAAAAATAGTGTTTTAAGGCACTGCACTGTCTTAGGGTTCCCCATACTTTCTATGTAGTTGGACTGGCAGCGTAAGGCTATAAACACTGTTCTGTCAATGAAGGACAGTGTTCTTTCTTTTTCTATGGCTTTATGGTGAAAGTGGACATTTAGTCAGAATAATAGAATGAATTCGAAAATTGACCAAACACCACTGTCCTGCAAAAAGCATCACAGGTGGCTGCAAGATTTCACTGGTTTAGATCTTGTAGTAGTTCCATAGGGTGCTGTGTCCGAGACACAAGATGTCTGTATTTGCAGTACGCATATTAGTTTAGGAAGAGCTAATCAGTTTTAATTAGCCAGGAAGAGCAGGCTGAGTGCTCTTTTCTGAGGTTAAAGATGACATCTTGAGTCAGTCTCTGAAGTGCATGGTTTATTGTTCCCCGTTTCCCGCAAGATGGCTCGCCGAGGAATTACTGACTTGGTGTTATGGCAGTTGCTACGTTTCCGTTAACGTATGTGTTAACACAGGTAAGTGATCGTCAGTTAATGACTCAAATTAGCAATGCTTTTCAGTATGTCTGTTTCTTGGGCTTGATTCAGCCCTCAGCAGCTCTTGGCTCTGTGGTTCCTGCAGCTGGTGAGAAGCATAACCTCCCGGTTTGGGTTTTCTCAGTTGTTTCGGTCCCACTTTTCAATTCGGACCTCGCTACTCTTGGTTTTGCCACTTCCGTAGTGAATGTCTACAGCAGTACACATAGGCCCAACTTGAAAAATAATGGATAAAAAATCCACCTCTCCAGAGGCGTGGCAGTGGTGAGGGGTTTTCCTTCTTTGTAGAGGAGGCAAGTGAAGTTCCACGTGCTGGTCTTGGCCGAGACTGGTTTGGGTAGTTCCCTAGCAGATCTGTGCAATTGGTTCTTTGCTGTTTTGGAGCAGAAGTACTGAAAGCCCCGAGTTTCATGAGCAAAGAGTAAGCAGCAGCTAACAGATTTTTGCCAGTAGGTATCAGGCCCTGGTTTACTTCATTTTGCAAGACTAGTGCATCAGCCTAACTAACTTGGCATGCCCTAAGTCACTTCTGTTTTCCTAAACACCGAAAGCAACACTGGGCGAACAGCTGAAGAGTGGTCAATTATTGCTGCATGACTGCAGCTAATAGCACTTGGTTCTTCAGACTGCAGCAGGCAATTCACTCTGATGGTATTGCTGAAGTTAATAACGAAGTCCAAACACAAAGCCCTTTAGGAAAAAAAGAAAACTATTTATCAGTTGCCAGTCATTGTAGTCTTCACCATAGTCCAAAGTATAGCGGTAGCCCACCCAAAAGACTGCTACGTTCCTCTTCATGCCAGTTCAGGGTCTCTTGCTCTGTTAGTAATACCTTCTCTGTTCTATTTTAATTCTCTTAATATCGGTTGTGCTATCTTAGCACTGTATTGGAGTTGGCTGAAGTTCAGGAAAACCTGAATATGAAAAAAATGTTTGTAGCTTCTGGTTTTATCTTTCATTTTCATTGGTCAGCAGTAGAATGTATTCATTACTTTACTGTCACCTGGAGTTTTTTCACAAAATATTTTTGGAGGTTTTGCTTCCGGTTAAAAATATCTCATTAGAAGGATGGTAAATTATGCGTTTTGTTCCATCATGATTAGCCCATGAGATGCCAACACTTGATGATGATTCAGCCGGCAAAAAGCAGTGTTTTCCTTAAAAGTATTCAAGTATTATTTTTTTTTCATTTTTCAAAAACATTAAGTCACTGTGCCTCTTTCTTTCTTTAGATCAGACCTTGCTCCTGAAATAAATGCATCTACACAAACTTACTTGACTGAGGAGCAAAAGACTTGGCCTGTTGGAACTTCTCAGAAGGAAGAGGTAGTTGAATATGTACTTTCTGTTACAGACCCAGCTACAAATAACAGGTTACATCTACTCGTGTTATTCCAGTACACATGTGTATACTGTGAAGTAGCTGCACAATAAACCAGCATTGCTGCTTGATGAGAAAGTGATAAAAGATTCACCCCACAGATCAGTTTTATCCAGAAAGTCAGGAGGGCAAGGTGAGCAAGAGCAAGCGTTCCACTAATTTTGGGGCCCAGGAGAGAGAACAAAAGCAATCTTGATAGGTTTTGGTTCAGAGCCAATGTGTTTTCCTTAGATTTGCAAAGAAACACATTCAGAGTGGCTTCACCTTAACTTTGCAATCAATAGCCAATGCAGAGTTACAAAGACACAAGAACTCAAAGTCTCCAGTATAAGTCCCACCATGACCGTGTTTATGATGAAAGCAGTCTGTTTGCAGTGGTGTCCAGCGACAGGACTAGGGGCAATGGATGCAAACTGAAACATAAGAGGCTTCAGTTGAATATGAGGAAAAACTTCTTTACTCTAAGGGTGACAGAGCACTGGAACGGGCTGCCCAGGGACGTTGTGGAGTCTCCTTCTCTGGAGATATTCAAAGCCCGCCTGGATGAAGTCCTGTGTAGAATGCTCTGGGAGAGCCTGCTTTAGCAGGGGGGTTGGACTAGATGATCCCTTCCAACCCTTGCGATTCTGTGATTCTGTGATTCTGTGATCTGAATTGAGATATCCTTTAGATAATGATGACATGGTCTCAACAAATCCTGTGTGGTGTTTAATTATTCACAGTTACAACTTTCTTGTGTTTCCTCAGCCCTGTATCTGGTTAAATCATTGCCAGTTTCATTTTTGACAGCTTGGAGCTGTTTCTGAACACCTGCTCTTCAAGCCCCAGGGAAAATGTCAGAAATGAGGAACATCATTTAAATAAATATAGATGACAACAGTAGCGTGAAAAAGAAGCATAAACAGAATTTGTTAAGCTTTTATTTTCTAGAATGCTACAATTGATAAATTGCTGAAAGGAAAAGCAAATCTGGGCAAACACCACAGATGCTTCATTAATCTGGTACAACTAACACTTACAGATTGATGCTTAACCTACTGGCATCTGAATTACTATAATCCCCATGCCCTGAAGTGCATTTTCCTATACGCAAATAGCATTTACCATATTTTCCTTTTTTAAAATATTTTTTTCAGAATTTAAACTTGCAGCTGATGGTGATAACTCAAAGACAAAGACATCTTGTAGTGCTTTCTAAAGGAAAGTCGTATTTTCTTCTTGAGTTCAGAGTCTGATGGGCTTTGTTCTGCAAAAAGGATGTTCTCATGGGTTCTCAGTCCCATCCGGAATTTGGTGGGAAACTTGAGAAAATCAATGCTCGTTCATGCTAGTCTGTATGAGCCTTATAGCTCAGACCACTGGGGAAAAGAGGACCTCACAAAATCTATTTTCTGGGCTGTATATAATTTAGCAGTGGAAACGTGGAATTGGAAAGTCATGTAATCGAAACTCTTCCCAGAAAGCTGGGGCAGAGAGAGACAGCAGTGAGTCATCTGGGAGTAAGAACAAGATTTTTTTTTTCCCCTCCCATTTGGGCTTGATCATCCCCACTTTATTTTCCAGGTCTGACCTCCAAATCTCAACATCCAGGTTGTACCCAATCATATACTGACCCATCAGCACAGAAGAAACACGTAAGATTTGTAGCAGTACTGTCCTGTTAGCAGTGTAATGTGTGATCTTCTGGTTTGCCAGCCCACCTGGGCGTTTCAAAAACCCACCTGGCCAAAGTGAAGCCTTTGCTAGTTGATTGTGTACCATTCCTCAGCAAATCCACTTCAGTCCTCAGCTCCCCGTCACTCTAAGAAGTATTGCAGATTGGGCCCCTTTTGAATTTTGCAAGCAGAATTAAGAATATCAGGCCAAATGGTCTTATATGTGTTGGTGACTCAGCATTCCCAGCCTCATCTCTGCTGTTTGAATGGTGGCCAGGTTTCTTTTCCACACATGGTAGTGCCCTATCTTGTGGGTCAGGTCCTCATAACTTGTCTTTTTAAGTGCTTCTGAACTTGTAAAGAATAAAGGCAAAATGCAGTCATCTTCCAGTTGGATTAGATGCTATCTCTTGGGTGAAAACCGCATGGTGAAGTTACAGTGCATTCTACCAGAAGGAAATCAGTTTCCAAAGTCTCTTTTTGAATTGTTCCCACCACTGAAATTCAGGGAGCCGTACATCTGCTTACCAAAGCATCTGTTTCTTTGGTAAGGTTTTCTAGATCTGAGTCATGCTTTAGCAAAACAGGATTGCAGTCTTTTGCTAATAAAGTGTTCTTGTCTTTTGCTTTAGGTAGTAACCTAATGCTTATGAACCACCAGGAATGGTAGAGGTGCTATGGATAAACCTCTGAAGAAAATAAAATTCTAACTCAATTTGTGATACCAGAGTCTTTAGGATAGGTTGTTCAAATATGCCTACAGTGCATTCTCCTTCCTGCAGACAGACTGCAGGTGGCTGGCTGGAGGAGTAAAACCTTTCCGTCCTTGCTTTACTCAGCGCACTCTGAAAAAATGCAGGAGGGGGATGTCCGGGCACTCAGACTTGAATACCTTCCCTGTGACAGTACTGTAAGTTCTTTCTCCTACAAGGAAGCACTGATATTAAGTGAAGTTACGCAGTTATCTCAAATCTCAAATGAAACAGGATTCCATTTCCTATTTGTTATCACTTCCAGCAGCACAGCGGCCGTTCCAGATGAGTGCAATTTTATGTTCTCTGATGACTTTCTTGCAAGTCTTCCAACCTTGTCCACTCTGGTCTGTGCTTTGTTTTTTGTTGCTGCAGCTATTTCTCAGCTTGAGGTAGTGGCTGCTTCACCCACACGTGCTATTTTTCCCCAGACCAAGAACACGGAGACAGCAGATATCCAGGCACTCACAGAACCAAACACAGCAAAGCCTGGTGCTTTTTGGGCTGGTACCAGAGGCAGTCTGGCAGTGTAGGAAATTCTTCTCCAAACCAATGTTGTGTTGGCCATCTTGTATTTTGTATAATTACTGTAAGTCCCTCAGTTCTAATTGTACCAGCGCTACTCCAGCTGACTGTTGCTCTTGTGTGTATTGGGCTTTGACAGTGGGTCTGTGGCTTAGGACTAAACTGTGAAATGTAAGTTTAAAAAACTGCAAAACAAAAATGAAGTTTCTCACGCAGTAACAATGACTGATGAACACGTGCTAAGCCAAAAAAATGGTACCTTCTGCTAGTAAAAATAATAGTAATAAAATACTCAAACAGATGTCTTCCAGACCTTTGGAAAAAAGGAGGCTTAAAACGCATTCAGAGTGGCTTCACCTTAACTTTGCAATTGATAGCCAATGCAGAGTTACAAATTCCTTGTTTCAGGGAGTTTGAAACCAGCCAGCTTCCACCAGGGCCTTGAAAGGGAGGGTCCGCTCAGTGCCCCTGAGCCACCCCCCTGCACAGCTTGCCCAGCTGTGACCCCTGGCAAGCCCAGCACGCCTCGGGAGCCCCTCTGCCGCCCGTCAGCCAGGACCAGCAGCAGGAACCAGAGGCAGGAGGCTCTTGCGGGGTTGGAGGATGGAGGGGACTTTCCTTCTGTTTGATGGGACCCAAAGAAAACCATGAAAAAAGTTGCTCCAGTGAGAGGCAGACTGGAGGAAAGGACCTGCCACGCAAGCCAGTGACTCGGGGAAGGGAGTCATTGATGAACCCGTGGCTTTAATCTGTCTCACCTAAAACCTCTTCCTCTTCTGTTTATGTTATAATAAAACAATGAAGACTGAAAATGCTGAACACAGTGGTTCTAGGTATAGTGACCATACAGGGAAGACATACATAGGCTTGTGTCAAAGCTCTGGTTGATTTGGTATTCGGTCATGACATGCAAGTTGAGTTAAGCGCAGTGCAAGAGAGACTCCTACTTTCTTTTAAGTCTACGGGTATTTTTCTAAGTACTGTTTCACCTGCATGTGTGAAATTTGCCTTTGAAAGATACCCATTAGCAGGTGTGTGGATTTGGCCCCTGCTTATCAAGGACCACAGGCTGGGAGTATGCGCCATGTGTTTGATGGCCTCATGCAGGACTGAGGTGGATGCCTCCAAGCTCTCCCAAGTGGGGCACAGGAGTGACAGACACCTTCTTTTGCTGCTGTGCGATAGCATAGAGCAGCTTCACTGACCTCTTGGAGCAAATGATACACCCTCCAGGAAGCAGCAGTCACAAAAAATGTGGAAATTGCTTTAGTAGCCAGAAGAAAATTGCTTTGAACTATGCTGTGAAAATGTTGCCCTGAGTAGCAAAGTCAGCCCTAAGTCATCCCTATGTAATGATGGGCAGGTGTACAGGTGAATGCCTTGGCAGGTAAATTTGGTGGCTCTCAAAGCAAAATACATGTTAGGGATCTTCAACCAGGTTCATAAATACAAGGATCTTTCTTGCCAACCTGTCTGGGACAGTGGGCAGGACACCTGGCTTACGCTGCTCTGAAAACACAGCCTGGCTTAACCAGAGGGGTAGCTGCTCTCGTGTTGTCTCCCGAACAAATTTCAGTCTGGAAGCGCGATGATGTTTCAAATACAGCTTTGTCATGGCAACAAAAATGGCCTTCAGACATTTGTAACACCGGACATTTTTCAGGCTGAATAGTGAATTGAGCCTCAAGAGAAGTAAAAAGAGAAATAGAGGAATATTTAGTGATCAATTTTTTTCTGTATTTCCCTGATATCAGCAAAGAGACTGACTAGATGCAAAATCTGTTTGTAGAGGACTGCAGTTTTTGTTGCAATGTGTCAGCCAAGGAGAATATGTCATACAGAAGCTGTAAGTACTGAAAATTGATTGATGCAGGAGCCTCCTACCTATCTCAGTGAGACAGAAAAAAGTAGTAACTACTATTAACTACCAGAGCTGTCTGTGCCTATATCGATGCTGTTCACATCCAGCTATTGATATGAATGGGAGTTTTTAAATTTTAAAATAAATGAAAATAAAGTACAAAAAGCCTCAATTGTTGAAAAGAGATATATGCCTGAAACTGGTGCTCTACTTGGTACCAAAAAGTAATCATCTCAAACACCTTCTTTGAACTGATGATGAAAGCTGTAAGCATATGATATTTCAAGTTTTTTATTCTATATTTAAAAAATAGATTAAATATTTTTTATTAAATTTGTTGAGTAAAATTTCTAAATGGTTGTATTTCACCTCCAGGAAGCGTAGAGAGTTCTGCAACATGAAAATGTGTTGCAAACTGTCTATCCAGAGACATAACTTCTTCAGGGTAGGGATCTATATCTTCTTCGAGGCTAGGGATATATTGTGCTGTTGCGTATGATAGGGTTTCTTTCCAGAACGAATTTGAAATCTTATAGCACACTCTGCCAGAAGCTGTGGGAGAAACTGATAGACAATTCCCAATATAGTTTGCTACATAGTGCTGGAGGATAATGGAGTCAAAATATTATTGAGTTAGAGAAAATATTTGATTCATATAAGTCAGTATGTTGCTAGAATTTAGACCTGAAGGGCCCCGTGTAAAGGTGCTGCTCCAGGAGCTCTGGAGGTGTGGAAAACAATTTTAGGTTATTGAACATAAAGGACTTCAATTGTCTAGAAGCTGAAACAAAAATAATAAGCACCTCTATCATGTGGCTCTCATGCAAGGGACACTTGGTGATGCTGAAGCAAACAACTGGCACCCATGCTGCAGGCTGCCAAGGAGGACGGGAGAATGGCATCGGGTGCATCTTTGCTGGCCACATCTGTAGCACAGGAGGCAGGAGGCAGAGCGGAACAAGGAGCCCAGCAGAAGCCAGGCAGGGGTTTGCCTGCGGTCTTTTTTCTAATGGCTCTGAATCGGACTCATATAAATTGTCCTGTAATTGCTAGTCATGATAGTCTTCAAACACTGAGGGTGATTAAACATATAAGCTTGCAAATACAAGGCTGACATTACAAGGGAGTGATTTACCCTGCCCTGTGGTAAACTGGTGCCAATTGGAAGAAGGGAGTGGTTCCAGACCATTATGTTGCACCTAACATTGCTGCTGTGGCGAAAAGCAGCAATTTTCCCAAATACATGCTGAAACGAATCTGAACTGTCCTATCAGATCTGCTTTGCAACCTGATTGTATAGGAAAAACAAACAAACAAAAAAGATTTAAGTGTTAATAAATAAAACAAAAAAGACAGGATTAAGCTCTATTGATATCATACCTTAGAAACATTCCATGTAGATATTGCATATAATAACCATTTTATAACCACAAAAGGTAATGCATTTTTGCAGGTGATGATGTTTTCAAGCTGTGAAGTAGGACCTCCCAGTTTTAGTGCTCCTCAGCTCCCCTTCCCACAAGCCGGGTGAACGACTGGGGTTATACTTGCCCATACACTCGCAATACAACAATGTCTAGTGGTCTGTCAGCACAAATCAGAGATTTCTTGGCTGTGTATAAGCATTATTCATAATTTATAGCAATCGTGACGCTGCTGAGTGCAGACCTGCTTATTCTTCAGTGTGAGACTGAAAACTCTGGTATGATGGCAGAACTCTCGGGTCTCCTGTTGCTCAGCACTCTGACCGCAGGCTCAGACATGTTTGAAGAACGGGGAAAATCTCTCAAAGGCCTGACAGACAGTAATATTATTTAACTTGATTGATCTAAATTAGACAGATGGGATTTGCACAGATGCGATACCCAGTGTCATTGGCAAAAATGACTCAGCTGCTTTACTGGAAATGTTTTAAACGCAAAATTGAGTAGTACTCTTGCAATGCCCAGCAGGAGACCATTTGTGCCAAGCAAGTGAGTTTCACAATGTTTTAAATACTGCTCTCTGCTGTATCAACAAAGTCTGTATGAAGGAATTTCATTTCAAAAAAATTTGTAAAAATGACAAGCTGGGGAAGAGAGTTCTCCTTTGCAACACTTGTTGACTGTCAAAGAAAAAAGCCCTTGGAAAGTCTAGAAACTAAGAAAACCAGCGCTAAAGTTTCTGACGGAGAATGAATGCTCTGAAGGCCGCAAGCTGTTTGAAGATGAAGAGTGGATAAGCAGGCTGGCTTTCCTCACAGATACTTGTGAGCTCCGTATGAGTCTCCAGGGCAAAAATTGCCTTTTGCCATGCTGTGTAAGGTACTCTCTTCTCTCCTGAAAAACATGCAGACTTCCACATAGCAATATAAACCACTGTCTTTTTTTACAACAGGTAATGACAGGGGGCATAAACTGTAGGAAATGAAACTTCTTCCCTCTTAAATTCACTAGATTCAAGCCTGAGTACTTTGAGGCAGAAAAGAACAGTTGCTGTTCACTGCCTCAGGCGCTGATGCTGCCAAACGCAGGGTGCCAGGATGGAAGGACCACCCGTCTCACCCAGCATGACCATCCCTGAGGGCTTGGGTTACAGCATCAGGAGCAAGTACGTACAGGTTTTACCGCGTGGAAAACTGGCCCACCAGCAAAGGCACTGGTCTTTGATCTATGAAGACCATATTAAAGTCCATGTTCCACTCCAGGTAGGGCCTGATTTTCCCCTAACCTTTCTGTGCATCTGCTTGGAGGGGAGACTAGTAATTCCCTGTTTCAGGAGCTGGGGGAATCAATATGGAAGGACTGAGCTGCTCATGGGCTGTGGTTGAAGGGCTTACGCATACCCCTGTGGGGATGCTGAAGCGCAGAAATCTGGCTGCAAATAAGCAAGAAAGAATACATGCCCTATGGGGAGTCTGCGCGTGGGCAGAGCGTGGACCCTGCTGGCTCTTGCACCCTGGGGATGCGCAGGGTGGGTGTCCCAGGTGGCAGGAGGGCGACTGTTGCCTTCTGTCCCCTCCTGTCCCCCCTGGAGCTGCAGTGCGGGAAGGGCGGGGGCAATGGGGATCCCCCTCCCCTCCTGGTGCTGCGTGTTGTGCGGCAGCTTCTAGCCACTGTGCCACAGAGTCTGCCCCAGGGAAAGCGTTTTCTGCAGTGGTTTTGTGCTATTTCAGCTTTTTGGAAAGCAGCATGACCTTACCCATAGGCTCCTTTTTTTCTCCCTGAGAGAAGATTTTTAGGATTTCTGAAGTAACTGCTTAAATTAACTTCTTGTTTCCTCTTTTCATGGTGTACACATTCATATAGGTTTTATACCTGACTTAAGCATCCATAAAAACAAACCCTTGCAAGCAATGCCGTTGGTATCTGTAGGTATCCATCTCCCCTTAGGATAAGTTTAGAACTGGGTACCATTTGCCTATGTAAGTGAAGTATTTGAGACTATCAATCAGCCTTATTTTAGGAGGTGTTAGAGAGCACAGACGTTTAAGATTCAGAGAGGAGAAGCTGAGGGTAAAATGTAGCCTGTGCAAGACAGCTTTGCACAGTTGGTTAATTTCCATGTTTTAACAGGGGTAGAAATAGCATGATTTATTTTCTTTGCCATATTTGCTTGCACCACTCTTGGCCATGATATTACGTCTCTGCACACTGTGACAAGGCCCATGATGGTATTACCTGGAGTTTTGCTGCTGGAAAATTTGGGTTTGCTCAAGTGAATGATGTTGTGTATTATCAACAAAATTCAGTTGATTACAAAAAATAATAATAACTTGCTGCAGTTGATTAAAAACTAAAATAGGATTACTGTAAGAAAGCACCTGGTTTTCTTTGCATTTGGGAGACTTATATACATGGGCAGGGCTGGATGCACCATGGTATGGACATACCAACTGTGTTTCCCCTGCAAACAGCTTCATGTGTGAGCAGCACCGCTGGTGCCTGTGCCAGGATGGAGCAGCACACGGAGGTCTTCAGGCCCAGGATGGAGGCTGATGTATCTCAGCATGCTTTGTCACTACTGGAGCTGGGGGTGCTCAGCATCTCTGAGTAATCCCACTTACTCTGTCTTACATCTGACACCTAAGGAGTATCCTCTCTCCCCGACCCCAAAAAACCCTGCCATTCTCGTATCAACTCATACTTCTCCAGAAATCAAGAGTAACATCTGGGCTGTTACATACATGCTGTTCATGATTGTACATGCACCTATGCATACATCTGTCTAGCTATCTATCTGTTTATCTTTCTGTCTACCTATCTATTTATCTATACACTTCTATTTGCATAAGTACTTTATTTTTACCCATTTCACCAGACTCTGCAGCATAAATGCCAGTGATTTCTGGCATTGTCTTTCAGCAGAGAAAGAAGAGTTGGGAAATGGCAGTCTCTCTGTATATGCTTTTGCCATGACACCACTCTCCATTTCTCCTATTGTTACGTAAGAAAAGCATTCAAATCCCTTTTCAAGAGACTCATAATTGAGGCTCACATTGGCTTGCTGCTGTCTAAGAGGTGCAGAAATATGCAAAGTGCACCAGACACAAAACATGACCTTTTCTCGCTCTTGTCAGATGTAAACCAGCCTCTCCCCAAGCAGCTGGAAAGCTTTGTAGCCCAGCTCAGCAATGCATGTCACCAGCTTCAGTGGGTTCCCGTCGTGTTTGTGCTCAGTGTTTCCCCCGGGAGCCCGTGATGAGGCTGGTGAGAATGGGTCCCTTCAGCATTTTAACTGGAAGAGGGTCGCAGTGATGATGGGGGCTTGAGCAATGCCGAGGCCTCTGGAGACAGTCACGAT